ATATATAGATATATATANATACATATATATATATATATAAGGTAGGGACAGAGTATGTGCATATATGTGGCTTAGCCAACATCCCCACACACCCAGACACCAGTAGACACTCTAAATAATCATAACACACACACGTTTGTATCGCCTACACACACTCTCTATCTAGCGCGTGACTATATCCTCATACCTTCAGTCGAGTGTGATACACTCATCGTTAGCGTTTCCAGCAGAGGGAAGTGTCGGGCGTAGTATGGCGGCGGTAGGGCGTTAAACGCATTGCCGTGCAGAAACACATGCTCAACGCCCCGCAGATCCCGCAGGGCTTTGGGGAACTGTGTGAGCCTGTTGAAGGATCTGAGACGGCACCAGAGTGGGTTTATCGATAGAAAAAAAAACCGGATTTAAACAACGTCTTTATTCTTGACCGTACGTCCACGGTTCAAAAGTCAATTTACGTTTCTCTATCGTGAACTGGGAAAACGTAGATACCCAGTCAATACATAGTGCTTGGTAAAAAGTATAGAGAAATGGCATCAATTTTCAGACACCATAGTCGACAGTGCCAAGGATGACTGACCCGTTAAAAGCAGGACTCGGACTGGCAGGCGTATATATCAGGTACTAAAATACGACTAAGCAAACTACCAGATAAACGTATATGCATTACGTTTACGCATCACTTTGTGACACTCAACGTGGGACAGTCAGTATAAACGCGTTATCGTGAGACAAGAGCTGAAGAAAATAGACGGCCAGTGACAGATTTAACGGTTTGCGTGCTTACAGATCTAATAGTATGCATGGATTGATATAGTTCACTTACAGATCTAATAGTTTGCGTCGGTTGATATTTAGTTCACTTACAGATCTAATAGTATGCATGGATTGATATAGTTCACTTACAGATCTAATAGTTTGCGTCGGTTGATATTTAGTTCACTTACAGATCTAATGGTATGCATGGATTGATAAAACTCACTTACAGATCTAATGGTATGCATGGATTGATAAAACTCACTTACAGATCTAATAGTTTGCGTCGGTTGATATTTAGTTCATTTACAGATCTAATGGTATGCATGGATTGATAAAACTCACTTACGGATCTAATAGTTTGCGTCGGTTGATATTTAGTTCACTTACAGATCTAATGGTATGCATGGATTGATAAAACTCACTTACAGATCTAATGGTATGCATGGATTGATAAAACTCACTTACAGATCTAATAGTTTGCGTCGGTTGATATTTAGTTCACTTACAGATCTAATGGTATGCATGGATTGATAAAACTCACTTACGGATCTAATAGTTTGCGTCGGTTGATATTTAGTTCACTTACAGATCTAATGGTATGCATGGATTGATAAAACTCACTTACAGATCTAATAGTTTGCGTCGGTTGATATTTAATTTGCTTTCGGTGGCCATTGCTATGCACCTGATGTCGAGGTCGTCTGTCAGCAAATTATCTGTTCAGGATACGCGTGAGTAAACCGTTTAACTAGTTTGTATGTACATATCTGGGGGACGTAGAACGTGTGAGTAAACGGTTTAAACGGAATGTCTGTACACTTTAGAGACAAGTAAAACACGTCAATACCAGGCCTTCTACTTATACCCAACACAATAACACAAACCCAACCACACACATCCACTCACGACCAACTACACCTACACACACCCACACTAAACCCTAAACTCAAAAACAAGACCAACCACCCACACACCCACACAATATCAACTACACCTACGCACACCCACACTAAACCCCAAAACAAGACCAACTCCACCTACACACCCACACTAAACTCAAAACCGTAAAACAAGACCAACCATTCACACACCCACACACGACCACACGACCAACTACACGTACACGCACACACACCCACTAAACCCCAAAACAAGACCAACCACCCACAAACGACCAACTCCACCTATACACACCCACACTAAACTCAAAACCGTAAAACAAGACCAACCATCCACACACCCACACACGACCAACTACACCTACACACACCCAGGATGACCACATGCACGCACCTGCGAGTCCCAGATGGCACAGAAAGGGCAGGCGGTTGATCTGGGGGGCTATGTAGGTTAGCTGGTTACTGGACAGATCCAACAACTGAATAGACAGGCACTTCCACAGACACGTAAGTCCGTCTGCCTGGGCGAGGCCAAATAAGTTCTTGCTCAGGTCCAACTCACGCAGTAGACCGAGTGACTGGAAGTTCACGGGCAAGTCTCGGATACCGTTATCCGCGCTGCGGGGGGTGATGTATTATATATTAGGATAGTATAATATACGTTGGGTTATTATTTTATGTAGTATGAAATTAGGGTGTGGGATTTAGGGATTTAGGGATTAGGGATTTAGGGGTTTCAACGACATAGTATACATCATAATTGTTATACAATATAATAGTATATTTTACACATTTGTGGTATCAATGTACGTGAATAAATTATGATTGGTGTGATAGTCGATACATGTGTCTATGTGCGTAGATGTGATTGCGCAGTGTCTAGTGTTTTGTGGGGACGGAAGCACACACATACTGTGGATATATATATATATATATCAAGCGTACATACATACATATATATAACAAATGTACATACATATATATCCGTTTGCATACGTACATATAGCTCAAGTACAGGTACACACATACCTCATACACACATACGATCCACGCGTAGACCCACGCACATACCCACCCACTTACAGATCTATCATAGAGACGGTTGTCATCTGTCCGATGTCTGTCGGTAGCTCTGTCAGACCACAGCCACGCAGCCGTAGCGTGTACAGAGCCACAAAGCGAGGCAAAACGCCATCCGATAACTGGTCCAACGGATTGTGCGACAGGTCTAACGTAGTCAGGCACGAACATCCAATCAGATCTGAGAGAAATGATTATAAGGGAGTCGTATTTTTCTATGTTGGGTGTGGAGAAAGGGTTTGATGACAGCGGATTGGAGAGGGGTGGGGGAGACTGAAGATATAAACGGTATGGATAGAACTGAGTTGTGGATGTGATGTTCATGATCATGGTATTGACAGAGCTTCCTTATTTCAGTATCATAATTGTATACTTCAGAGAAGTAGATACAATTGCCTCGCAATTAGTGTTCTTGCGCAATACATGTATTTGGACAAAGTGTGTCCTAATCGGTTGTATTCATAAATGTACCAAGCAACCCCCAACAACGTCATATCCACTATTGGCAGAGATATATATATACATACATACATACACACCCACGCATATATATATATATATATATATATATACAGACATACATACATACATACACACATACACACATAGATACATCGATACATACATACATACATACATACATACATACTTACTTACATAAAATATATAGATACACACATACATACAAACACAGACACAGACACAGACACAGACACAGACACAGACACAGACACAGACACACACATATATATATATATATATGTATATATATATATAGATATATAAATATATATAATATATGTATGAGTATATGTATATGAATATATATATTTATAAATATATATATAC